ATTAGAGCCTTCAAATACGTTCTTCAAGTTTCATCGGCAGATTCGGTTTAGGATCTTGTCGAATTTCTTGAAAATTCTACAGGAGGAATTTCTTGGTGAAAATTTTCAGATTGCAACTTCATATATTGAAGATCATTTAAAAAAAATCAGAATAGTTGGAGATCAAGAACACCTTCGAACAAAGTGATCAAGAAAAATAGATTGTTTGAGGACTCACCGTTCAACAGAGTCCAATGGATACTACTGAAGGTATTTGGTTCTGAAATTTTACAGGTGGTTTCTTAACGCATCGAAAGACATTCAAGAATTTTCCCAAAATTTTTGGACACCGGTAACCCCCTCAAAAATGTTGCTCAAGTTGATCCAGCGTTTTCCAGGTTTCTGGGTTGGTTCTTTTTTTCTCTTTGACTCTTAGTGCTTTAAGTTCTTTTGTTTTTTCTTTTTATTGTTCTTGTGCATTATCTAACACATTATCTTTCTTGTGTTAGTAGGATTAAAGAGTTTGCATACTTCTTCCTTCTTTGCATTCCTGTTCTCTTGGAGTCTAACCCTTGTTTGGCCTCTTAGAACTTTTAAGTTTTTTTCTTATCGCCTTTGCTAGTAATCAAGCTCCGATACGAACTGTGGAAGACTACTTGGTAAAGTGAGTTTTAAAGAGTACAAGATCGGCTTACTTGCCTCTCGTTGTGTTGCTTTCTTGGAGTGACTTGTGAGGTTTCTTGCTTTGTTAAATTTTCTTCCTTTTATTTTTATTTTACTTTAAAATTTTCTTTTGAGTGTTATGATTTCAGGATGGGCGACAATAACAACAAGACACTTACGGCTATCTTAGCCACACTTACCCGACTCACGACTCAAGTTGAAAGATTTGATGAAATCGTGAGAATGACAAAAACCACAACTGGATCTACCAAACCAGAATCCAAGACCAAACAATGCTGAACTTTTGGTACCCGGGCGAGAACAACCATGTTTTCAAGCACTCGAACTCTTTGCAAAACCAAAGTTCACGATCCCGTCTTTCAAAGGAGATAATGATCCAGACTGGTACATTGAATGGGAAGGAAAAGTTGATCTCATGTTCGCATACCATGACTGCCCCCAAGCTAAACAAGTTCACCTCATCACCACACAATTTGAAGGATATGCTCGAACTTGGTGGATGCAAACAAGGAAAAAGATCCAGAACTTCCAAATTCCAACAATCACTTCTTGGACCGACCTCAAGCAAACCACGAGGAAGCGATTCCTACCGACACATTATACACGAGAAGTTAAACTATGACTAGACCGACTTCGACAATGTAGAAGTTCAGTTGAAGAGTACTATAAGGAGATGCAGTCCTTACTAAATAGGGCTAACATAACCGAAAAAGAAGATGTCACCGTGTCAAGATTCATCGTCGGCTTAAACTCAAACATCATTGATCTTCTTGATCTACAAGGGTACGAAAACCTTGAAGACGCACTAAAGAAAGCAATGACAATCGAAGCACAAATCCAAAAGAGATCTCGATTCAGTGAACATTACCAAGGTACTTCATCCTCTTACCAAGGTAATCCTTTAAATCCTTCCTCATCTTCTACTCCATCTTCGCTAAAAATCCAAGAGATGACAAACCTGACAAGGAGAAAGAACGACCAGCAAAGAATGACACATTTCCAGTCCCTAAAGATCAAATAATAATTTGTGAGGAGGTACGGAAAGCAAAAAAAGAAAAAGTTGAGAAAGAGGCAAAAGCAAAAGAGGTCACTAGTTATAAAAGCCAAAAGAATAATGACCCATGGGAGGTGAGTGAACCTAAATGTGAGAAGAAAAGAGTGACTCAAAATCTATATGTGATCACAAAAGAATTGAGACAAAACCTTCTTTACAAACAGCCTTGCATCCTTTTTCACTTTAGGGAATCAATTGTTTCGATTTCTAACATTAACAAGGATTTTCCTAGTGTGTTTTCTTCTCTTTTACAGGATTTTCGAGAAGTGTTAGGTGATCTACCTAACGAACTGCCACTGAAAAGAGGAAAACAACGCCAAACTAATCTAATTCAAGGTTCCATCATAACTCGTCAAACATACAATCTCAAAGAAACCAAAGAGTTGGATTTGTTACAAAAAGGTTACATCCAGGAAAGCCTAAGTCGTGACGCCATCTTAATGACGAAATATGATTTGAACAACTCTACAGGCTTTATAGTTCGTGCACAGGAAATCCATGTAAATGATGAAATAGTAAAAGCAACACGAGACTAGGCCACACCATCTTCCATAGCCAAGAGTTATCGAATAATATTAGGTGACCCTCCTGACGAGTTACCACCTGAAAGCCCTAATCACTATGCCATATCAATGAAGAGTCACGATTTACGGGAGTCCAAAGGTAAGTATTTTGATACTCATTTTAATGACATTGTAACATACTTCTTCTCCTTCTTACAAGGTAAGGCTCGTGAAGTTGTCATCCATACTAAACACAACTCCTTTAAGTGCGTAGCTGACCGAGGTAAGCAAAACACATTAGACGATGCACTACCACGAAGGTATACTCTTAAGCATGCTACTATTCCAAGAATTGAACATATAAAAGATGTATATCACAATAACTCGGATATTTCTTATATTTCTACCCATACTTTTAAAAGTACTTTTAATGAGTTTTATCTTGTATATGAGTTTCCTTGCCAACTAAACAGGTTCTACAATCCACAAATCTCCTGCCGAGAATTATTAATTCATGAACTACACTTAGGAGACTTAAGGGATTACTTTAACAAACCAGTTGACATGGTTTTTAAACACTCATTCTCACCACACATGAATAAAACCATGGAGAAACTATCTGAAGCAATCATACAGAAAGCAAACAGTGGTCGACACCATGTTGAATTTCAACCTAAATATCAGATTACAAGACTTGTATGCAAAAGAGGATTCAAGACTACAAGAAATCAGTTCCTACAAAGAAGAAACCTCGACTGAAACGCATAAAGACACATCACATTGATCCTGGTAAATGTTTCACAAGTTTTCCTTTCAACACATCTAAGTCTCTTTCTCTTGGATTTTTAGATTCGAGGACGAATCCTTTTGAGGAGTGGGGGAATGATACATGCACCAGAGTCCATAATACATACTTCTTTGGACTAATGTTTCTACTCGAACCTATTAGAAGAACAAAGTCTCGAAGATTCAAAGCATATCTATTCGGTAAGTATAATGTGAATGAATCATTAAACGATTCTAATGTTGCTCCCTTTAATGTTTCAGATTTGAGGTCGAATCTTTTTGAAGAAAGGGAGGATGATACATGCATCACAAGGCTCATATCAAAAGAAGAAGTAATAACTCTTCCAAATGATCCACTCGTCCAAGCATTGGAAAAGAAGATCAGAACAGAAGCAGACTTACGACGACTTTTTAATGGGATCCTGATCTTATTTAGCCAAGATGTCTTCTTGAGATACGACCGTCTGTCTCTTATCTTTCCAATGGTTCTTGAATCGCATCAATCCGATATCGGAAACTCAAGATATGGCTATTTTACTGAAGACGGTGCATGCAGAAAATCTTATATGGGATTTTGTAAATATTACGAATTTTCAATATTTTTATTGATTATTTGTAATATAACTTAATATAGGATGATGCATTATCTTTTAGGATTAAATTTATTATTTTATTAGGAATTAAGGTTGGTTTAAAAATATTATCTTTAGTTATTATTATTTTATTAGGAATTAGAGTTAAAATATGTTTGGTTTATTATTATTTTATTCATTAGTTATTTAGGACCTTTAGAACTCAGCCCATATATAAAGGAGGCTTCATTAAACTTTGTAAATCAATATTTCTTTGATTAATAATACAACGAGAGTTCGTTTTTGCAAGTGTTGATTGCCTTGTGCCTTCGAAGCTTCTTCTCCTGGAGTTCTTTCAAGTTCTTGTGAGGGAGATTAATCTTCACACTCCAATTTGCCTTTTTATTGTGACTAGGAGGGTTGTTAGAGCCATATTATCGTGTTTGCATTTTCATTGCGACTAGGAGGGCTTGATAGGACATTATCTATCGATTTTCCACATATCCATCCACGCCATCAATCATCTTTACCGTTCACTTTCATAAGGGAGATCTTTTGATTTCTTGGTTATTTTCTTTATTTTCAATTCCTTTATATTTTATTTATCTTGTTTCTAATCTTGTTTCCAGCACCTAAACGAAACCCTAAAAAACCCTAGCTATTGCCGCCACCTTCCCTATTTATTCTTTATTGTTCTTCAACAAGAGCAACGTTCATTAACCCGTCACCGCTTCCCTATCATTAGTTTAATAGCTATTCGTTTTTCTTTTAATCACTTACATTTTGTTTAAAAATAAAATGACAATGTTTTTAATTTAATGATCAGAATGAGTGGGTTTGGTGCTAAAAAGATAATGTTTTCCTTCTTAATAGATCTCGACTTAGAACAGCAGTGTAGGATGTCTATACTGCGAATGAAATTAGCCAAATTAGCCAGGGAATACTCGAATTTATTTATTGATTGATTGAAGGAAAATTCAAATAAAGAACACATTTAGGGTGGGACGAAATTAAACACATAAGACAATTATGGCTTACTCTATGAACGACATTTATGTCTTTTTAGAGGGCAGGACACAGCCGGCAGCCTGTTAAAATGCAGTTGTTGACATTGTAAACGTTCTTTTCAACAGATAACCTGTAGCCATTGTCTGCTAGTTCCCATTTACGCCTGCAAAACAATGAATCTATTAAAGCCATTGAATTTTGTCAAAAGCTTAACGCTTCGGCATATTATTCTATGCTTTCAGTTCATAATTGACAACCGAAACTGCCAAATCGAATTGAATTTCTTTTCTGAAAGTTTAGTTTCAATTCACAAGTCATCGTTATAGTAGTATTTTCTTGAAGCATCTTTAAATATGCTTTATTGAAACAGGCCATAGCATTATACGGACGAATCATTCCCTGTTTCAACAGACAATGGCTTCTTTCTCGATAAAAGATTTTGTTGGTGATGGGGTTCTCAAGGAATTGCTTCCAAAGCTTTTGGAAGAAGGTTGGGATGACGTCCCAACTTTAAAGATCATGAATTCAGATGACATGGATGCGATCAACATGACACAGAATCAAAAGGTAAATAAATATAAATTTGTCACCTGGTATTTCATATGTTCATCACCTGGAAATCAGATGGTTTGTTCCTACTGTAGTTCAGGATGCTCTGGAAATCAGAACCTACCTTCATGATCGTGCTTTGATGCAGTATGGAGATAAGCTAGAGGCTTCTAAGAAATGCCTACCCGAGCTCCTTAACTTGCGCACAGAGGAGCTATCTTCTCGATTCAACATGAAAAGGGGACATATTGCACGTTTCACAGATAGAGGCAACGCATGCACGGATCCTCTACCGAAATCTTACGGCCTCGCCGCGAGGCAGAACACGGCTATACCGTCTAGAAATAACACCATTCTTAAGATTCAATCCATAGCAAAGTCCTTTAGCAGGAGTAGCACATACAATAACAGGTCGCTGGAAGAATCACTGGCCGACTTCAAGATTAAAGATGGATACATCTTTAAAGGGATTGTTGCTGCCAGACCGGCCGAGGCTCGAGCCTGTGGTTGCGTACAACCTCCTCCGGTGGTTGACAGCGTGGCGCCTTATGCTACTATTGAAAACATATCGGTTCAGAGATTAACTCCTGTGTATAAGATTGGGATGGAGCCCTTGGTGAAATCCAAGACTCCACCTATGAAAGCTTCGGAACTGTGGCGGTATAAGCCGACTGTTCTCCTATGCATTCGACGGCCAGGGTAAAGTATCAAAACTAACAACATAGAAACCATGTTTTATCATCTGAAGTATGAAATTGATTGGCTTTTCTGTCTACATTTGTATGATAACAGGTGCATCATGTGCAGAGCTGAAGCTCACCAGCTCTATGCCAAAAAGCCAATATTTGATGCATTGGGAATCCAAATGCTTGCAGTTCTTCATGAACATATAGAATCAGAAGTGAGTTGTATACTCTTTTTTCAAAATATTTCTCCAATAAACTTCCTTTTTCCTCAGATATATCAAGTTTTGAAGCAGGTAAAAGACTTCTGGCCACGCTATTGGGGTGGAGTTGTGATCTTGGATCGTACAATGGGATTCTTCAAAGCTCTTGGAGGTGGGAAATTACTTAAAGACAAGTTTCTATCAGGATTTTTATTCAATCCACGGGCTATCGCAAACTATAAACGTGCAAAAGCTATGGGAATAGACCAGAATCTTAAAGGAGAAGGTGAAATCAAGGGTGGCCTTTTTATAGTTGGTCAAGGAGGAACTGGAATAGCTTACCAGTTTATAGAGAGGAATTTTGGTGATTGGGCTCCTGTAGTTGAAGTTGTAGAGATATGTGCTAGGTTACAGGTAATGTTTTTTTATCTCTGTAATTCCAAATTGATTATTATCATCCAATTATTGCAAACCAACCTTTTCTTCAACACGTTGCAGAATCAACAGCATGATCAAGGAGATTCTAGCAAATCACCAGAAGAATGATCGTCACAAAATAGATTTACATCTCATATCTTCGGGAGTATCAGAGACTTGTATGCCAAATTCAATGTTAAATTTAAATGAGGACAAGACAGGTAAAGGATAAGACACTCCAATTGTTTATTCGGACATCTTTCCATGATTTCTTGTCCCCTGCAATGCTACAGATATCTATGGGGGGGGGGGACTACTTATTAAAGGAATCAATCTTCTGATAAATTCGAGTGTTTCAATTTGGTCATATATGCAATAATGTCATGTTGAGGAACATCAGTTTCCATACTTTGTTTCCATCTTAAATCACAGAAGAGATTCATTTAATATACTACTAGATAAAAGCATATAACTCCTATATCACAGAAACTTCCCATATTTAATCTATACATTTTAATCCATCTTACTTCGGACTAGGACACCGATACATTCCCATGATCAAAGGAGTTCCATATCCCTCCATATATCTAATGCTCAAAAAGCATGAAAATGAAATTCATCTCATCATACAATTAAGGTGCTCGACATCCATATATATAATGCTCAAAAAGTATGAAAATGTAATTCATCATACCATACAGTTAAGGAAACCTCGAGCACGATGAGAATATAGTGAAAACATATGTTTTATAACCTTTGAGAGACCATGCAGTTAAGAAAGCTTGAGCACGGTAGGTAAATGGTGATGGCATATGTTTATACTTTAACCTTCGAAAGAGTGGTTCACATTCCTTTGGTTACCTTCAAGAATGCTGGCATACGTCTGGCAAGCAAATGGGGTTATAATGAATTGCCTCGCATGGAGCCAATGATCCTTAGGAGAAGGATCAAAGTTCTACTTCTGTATTACCGGATGGTTATGGCCCTGCAAAAGAATTAGATAAATTTTAATCAGACCAAAGGACATTTGGCCCATGAGATAGGACATTAATAAAAGCGTGTAATATACATTAAGGATGTCAGAAGGAGCACTGGTTCCATAGTTCATTTGAACAAAATTGTGAAGCTCGTCCTCCCATGGATTCAAGAACTTGAATCAAAATGTGTAGAAAGTTAAATTTGTAGTGTTCATGAATCATGATGTTAAGAATATAAAATAGGTTTTTCATATTGGTAACCCTTTAAAAAGATGTTAAAAGAAACCTGATTGGAGTCCTTTAATCCTCCGGTCATCAATGCTAATTGAGAACTAAGAGATCTACGAATAACATCTGCGTTATTCCCTGTAACAGGAAGAGCAGCTTGAACAAGTCCAGGTTGAGACGGGTGCAATGAAGGATAACCAACAGATAAAATCAGAAGAAAACCCCAGAGTAGAAGAAGGGCCAACTCGTGATTGAATAATCTGTACATCAATGAAAAAGCTTTTGACGGGTTCGATGAGACACACGAAGACATGAAGAATTGCTAAAGCTATGCTTGACCACCTACATCTTTCGTAAGAAGCCCTTCTATATTAAAATCCAGCCTGGGGTTTTGTAGCAAGTTTCATCGAAAGAAACTGCAACAGGGAAGAACGTGATTATACTACCAATTCACAAGGTTGTAACAATATTTACATCAATCCAGAACAAAATTCACTAATTAATTAAACTGAAGAATCAACAATTCATTCATCACCAATTACACTAGATTACTAGGTAACAACAAGGTTGAAAAACCGAAGTTGTAAATTCTGCTCCAATACCTCAACCTGCCGCTGAAGTGACTGCACATAATTGATGATTTCATCTAGCATCACTGTCTTTTCTGTAACCTGAAAGAACCAATGAATTCCCACACAATAAATTACAACATCTATTGTGAATACTGCTGAGAAGTCGATATGGTTGTACTCCCTAAGCATAGGGTCCAAATTATCGCACCTTGCTGCAACCAGGTACAATTTCCAGAAGAAATTTCATCCTTTCACTGATCTTTTCTCTTCTTACCTGAAGTGATAACCAATTAATTCCAATATAAACAAGATGGATGAGCTAATATTTCTATTTCAAAGAGTATTCCATATAAAATTTACCCTTTCCGCAAGACCGTGGCTGTTTGTTGCCTGGCCTCTTCGGGCTCTCACATGGATGTATTCTTCTTTTGGTGGGTGAGAAGCTGGAGACACTTGCTTCCCTGTATTCTTATTGACACTTGTAGTTTGCTTCTGGTCTCCCTTTTGTTGATTTTCAGCACCATCCTTTGCTGCCTCGGTTGGTGGTTGGCCTCCCTTAGCTTGATCAATCTTAGTATCCTGCCATAAACTTAGTAATAAAAACTTCAACTATAAACAAAAGTGTACAATGGATCGAGGAAACAATTGGTGAACAATATTACCTGTAAACTCCTTTCTCTTTTCTTCTAACTAAGACCCTTAGCAGAAGGTTCACCACCTGTACCATCCAATGAAGATGGCTCATCTTGACCTCCTTCACGACTGCTAAACTCAGCTTCGTCGGACTCATTACCAGAACCACCAGTTCCTTGTTTTGCTTCTTCGTGGGCTGGCACAAGACTTCCATTTCTCCTGTCATTCCCCAAAGGGCTTTCTTTAGCCCTACTTTCAACTTGCAAACAAGAATCTCTAGTAGCTTCAGAGACATTCAGAGATTCCACACCGGATACTGATTTCATCTCATTGGCTGAGAACATATGTTCATGTACCGGCATCAATCCCAGACCTCTAGTATAAAGACCCACAGATTCAGGCATACCAAAAAGGCTCACCATATCACTAAAATTCCCCCTATTAAAGCTCGAGAACCTGGCAGCACGCTCAATGAAAGCTGAATCAGCTGGCAACTGTGATAGACTCTGTGGTAGAATCCTATTCGTATTCGGTACAAAAAAGCCCCCTTTCAACGTTTAACTTGCAGCATTCCAACCCATATCAAATGGTCTATCAGTGCTACTTCTCAAAGAGGTTAGAGTACCTTTCCCAATTCCCTTTGCATTTGAAGAGCTTGCACCATTTTGTACATTGATGCCACAAAATCCCAAGTCTTGTGAATTAGATGGGTGCTCCCAAAGGTTCGAACCGAATGAGTCTGCCACCGAAGCACATGAAGAACCAATAGCCAACGGATTACTACCAGGAACTAAAGTCATACCAGCACTTGTGAGATTGGCACCACCACATTACCAATCCGATGACAGAACAGGCGCATGGTAGTTTATGCTATTCTCATTTCAACCGGTGCTACTTAATTGTTATGCAATGCTCACACAAAGTAAGTGATATCTTTGTTAAGTCTGGAAATAACTTTTGCTCCACAAGGACTTTTATTCCTTGTTCTGACATGTGTCCAAATTTCTGATGCCACAACATTGTAGAATCTGAACTACATGAGGTAACAGAGACTTCTGCTTCTAGCAAAATCTCTCCCTTCAGCATGTACAAGTTTACTGCTATTTTTTCACCTTTCAGCACCACAAGCGCTCTACGAAACACCTCCATGATTCATTTCCGTGTTTCGATCTTGCTTGCATTAGTATCCAACAATCCGTAGGATAATAAATTTTTCTTTAGGCCTTTCACGTGTCGCACATCTCGAACAACTTTAATTGTTCCATCATACATCTTCAATTTGATGGTTCCCACGCTAATGATCTCTAAGGCATGATCATTGTAACTATACACAGATCCTCCTGAGACAGATTCATAATGATGGAACCATTCTCTTCTTGAGGTCATATGATATGTTGCTCCCGAATCAATGAGCCATATATATGCATATCTCTTTCTACATTCCACGGTGGTTGACGCTTCACAACATAGAGCATCTCCATCATCTGAAGTGTTTGCGGTATTGCCTTCTGGATTGGAGTTTTTATTTAGACTCCAACAATCCTTCTTCAAGTGATCCTTCTTTCCACAGTTGTAACACTTTAAATTCTTCTTACTCCTCGACTTCGATCTACCATGTTTGTGACTGCTGCTTTGGCCACGTTCTGTTGATCTCCCTCTCATCGTTGTCATCGTTGTCAATGCTTCTGCTTGTTGCAGATTTACTTGTCTGTCTTCCTTGTTCTTACGCTGATTTTTTTCTTGTAGAATAGCAGCTGCAACGTCATCGAAGACTAGACTGGTGACATTACTGTTTGTCAAGTTGATGATGAGTTGATCATACGAATCCGATAGACATTGAAGTAGAAGTTCAACACGTTCTTATTCTCCTATTTTACAGTTTAAGGATGCAAGCTGAGAAAATAAAGTGTTCAGTGTATTTAAGTGCTCTGTCATGTAAGTAGATTTTGGCATATGAAGAGTGTACAATTTTCTCTTAAGGAAAATTTTTTTGTGCAGCGATGTGGCCTCGTACAGTTTGGTGATATTATCTCATATCTCCTTAGCTTTCTTCTTCTCCTCGATGCTTGACAATACTTCATCTGCTAATGCTAGATGAAAGTTTGACATAGCATTCCCGTCCATCTCGACCATTTGTTGTCATCTGTGAAATCTACTAGCCTTTCACTGATAGCTGCTAGACAACCGTCTTTCCTCAGGATGACCTTCATCTTCAATTTCCACAATGAGAAATTTCTCCCATTGAATTTTTCAGTATCAAATTTCATTGTTATAGCTTCTATTACGGATAGGTTCCACTATTTCACTATCGTGAATAGTTCTCTGGAACTTTCAAAGAATGTGTAATACCTTCTTACTTTCTTATGTTGGAGGATTCACCTTTTGGTGGCAACCACAAAGACAATAAGCAGATAATACACACTCAAATCTGGCTCGGATACCAATTGTTGCGAAAGACGGCTATCGAATAGAGCAAAATCACAACTGATAATTTGAGAAAATAAAAATGAAGATAAAAGAGATACAAATTTTACGTGAAAACCCCTAAATAATATAGAGTAAAAACCACGATCAACGGTAGAAGAATTTCACTATGAGAAAATATGAATTACAACTTCTCTCGATCTACCAAGGAGAAAACAATGATAATTCTCTCTTGATAAAAAAGAGAAAACAACTCTCAATAAACTCTCTAAATTCTCTAGTATTGGAAGAAACCTAGAATGTTTTGGGATGATTTTGAAGCTAAATGGGTTAAGGTATTTATAGTTGAAGCTTAATGACTAATCTTATAAATACCCTAAAGTACAATGGCTAAATTTAAGATTTTACCATTTTCTTTTTCAACAAATTAATTGAAACTTTTGACAATTTGCACCGAATGAATTCTTTTGCCAACAACCCACGGAAAGTTGCTTTGAATTTGCAACAAAAGCTCCTGCATTTATATCCCACGCTCGCATTAAAAAGAGAGCTCTTTGATCATTAACCACCGCCACTGCCACTGCTCCCTTCAAAATCAATGCTTAATTGTAGATTTTAGTTATAATTATACCCATTTGAGCTAGCAACTGACACTGCCAACTCTCATTACAGTCAGTATTTTCTCTTCTCTTACTGCTTTGATTATAAAATATCTTGGGAGGAGAGCTTCAAGATCTTTAATGGAGTTTTGTCTGAAATCTCATTTTCACACTTTTGTACAGATTAAATACCCATATGGGGTCTGCAATGAACATAATTATTGAATTTCATTTATATGAACATGGGGTAGAGAAGATCCATGGTATATCTTTCACTATTATCCACCTTTGTCTATTTTTCATGGAGAAGACAAAAACTTAATACTTTGACATGTTCCCAGTTACCTGATCATTTACATTAATACTCAATCGAAACCAGTTTAACGCATTACATCATTCGGTAATTGAGTTGATAAAATTTGATAAATCATATGTTAAATGTCGTTGAGAGGGTGGTCTCAATGTTAACATCGACGACATCGACATGACAGTGAAGTCAAGGGTCCAAGTACAAGGATGTTCTTCCTATTGTGGTAACTGATTGGAAACAATAAGATTATAGGGCAAGTGCGATGGTGTTTTCAGGTATTAAGCAAGTAGACGTGTTAGTTGTAAGAGTGGCGAATCCTGCTTGCCAAATTGATAATTTTATCCTACTATCGCGAATCAAGTTCACTCAATAATCAAGTCATTAACCTCTTCCTAAAAAAAACATATATGATAGGATATGTAAATTTATGTAAATTGAAATTTACAAAACTTACATATAATATAATTTTTTTATTTAATTGATATAAAAATTAATTTATTAAATGTCACGTTGTAAAATTATCACATAAATAATTGATTAAGTTTCGAATTTGAGTTTACCCAATCATTTTAAACATTTTTTTCTATGGAGTAGTATTTTTATCACTTCCCTTCATAAAAAATATTTTTTAATAATATTTAAGTATATTAGTATTTTTAGCATTATATTATATATGATATAGTAAAATTGAATATCGAATATGTTTGAGTTTTCAATATCTTATGATATAATGTAAGAATTTATATTTAAGGTTTGTTTAAATAATCACTCGTTTTTTAAAGTACTTTAATCCTCATTATTCCAATTTTGAATGAAAATTTATCGTTAAAAATGTAATATTTTTATATGTTTAATTTT